TTCCTGCTGCAGAAGTTCATTGTCATCACATGTAGGAGCAAGATAATTTGCAGCCCCCTGAGGGACTAAATGTGTGGCTCCCGTCTGCTTGCATTGCCACTTCAAGGCCGTAATGTCTGAAATGGCACTTACTGTACATGATCACATCATTAAATGCTTCAAAATCATATGGAAATAATCACACACACAGTATTACATGGGGAGGTATTCAAGTGACAGATCGGGGGACTGTAGATCTATCAGAAGAGGGAAAGGCAAAATGTAGGGTAGATCAAGGGTGTGCAAATATGTTTTCTATTAACATCAAAGAATAATAGCATAATTGAGCTCTATCCAGGGCTACTCCCACTAAAATTAAGGAATATGACTTAGGTTCATTGACTCCAGTGGGTCTGCTTCAAGAAGGACTAGCTTTGGATACAACCCATTATTACCGTTAGGAATTGTAAAGTTTAAAAAATTCATTATGACCTGCTTATGGACATCTCATGGAAAAAGATACTTACAGAGATTCTCCAACAAACATGTCATTGGGATGTTCATCAAAGGTTATAGTATTAAAGAAAGAGAAGAACTGAGAAAAAATACTGCCAATGATGAGGTCACCTTGCTCATAATACTCATGCGGGATCTGTAGAGGATCGTTCACACTGCAAGTAGCTGGTTGTGACTTGCTCTCAATTTGGGGAAGAAACGACAGTGTTAACATCAGTAGCCACAGCAACAATAACAGCATTGCACATAAGGGTGAATTCTTTTCTAACAAAGCAAACCCACTCTTCCAGGCTAATTCATTATTATATAATAGCAGCTGGTTCAGAACAGAATTGTTTCTACACTCTCTTGATGCTGCAAGTCGATAGTGATACTATGTGGCCTGTGAAATAGCTCTTCCTGTCCACAGTCCACACCCCCAGACTCTGAAAAGCACAGACATAAGTTTTATATGTATTTTCATATTGATTACTTTTTATGAGTGTAGTCAATGAAAATCCATGTTTTCATCAGCCAGAAATGATTACTGTAATTTGACATAATTATAAGGTAATTATAAATCAGCTCTTTAAATGTTCTCCTCATAGAGAACAGAACAGCAGAAGAAAACATGTTGGTTAGGGGTTATCTCAGGGCTGTTCCTTTCTGGGTTCAAGATCAACACCTGGACATACTATGACACTGAGCAAGAAAATACATACAGAAAACCAAAGTCTTGGGACAAAGACATAGGAATAAGGAACTTGTGCCTGTCCATATGTTGCTGGACTCCAGCTTCCATCATCCCTGATTACTGACCATGCCTGCTAGGACTGAAGGGAATTGGAGTCCTACAACAACTGGAGAATTTCAAGTTTCCTATTCTAGCTTGTTAAGTGGATATAAAGGAGAATAGTATTAATGTCATCCCTCTGCAACCTTGCATAGGATTACAGTGGTTGAATGCATTCTACACCAGGCTGCTTTAGTACATTAATATAAACATTTAATGATACTATGGTGGTGGTGGTGACAGTGATTAACCATATTGTAGTCATCCTTTTCCATAAGGTTCTAGGGTTGAAATGCATGGCATAAAAATAATAGAATAAAAAAAAATACATAACATTTCAATATAATTGACATAAAAGTTCCCTTTAAAAAAAGCAAAATAATAAAAGAGCAGGTGATAATTTTTTTCTCATTACAGTGGTACCTCTGGATACGAACGGGATCTGTTACAGATCCCTGTTCGTATCCTGAAGTAAACGTAACCCGCACCTGCACATCTACGTGTGTGCGGGCCGTGATTCGCAGCTTCCACGCATGCTCGCGATGTCATTTTGACCGTCTGCACATGTGCGAGTGATGAAACTAAGAAGTAACGCATTCCGTTACTTCCGGGTCACTGTGGAGCACAACCTGAAAGTGCTCAACCTGAAGCATATTTAACCCGAGGTATGACTGTAGTTCTGAATACCAACCCCTCCCAAAGACCTGGATAAAGAGGTGTATTGTCAGCTGCTGCTGAAAACTTAATTATATTGGTACTTGATGCACCTCTGAGGGGAGGTCACTTCAGAGGCAGGCTGTAACCACAGAGAAGGGTGTCCCAAACTTTTCCAGGAGGTGGCATCACCAGCAAGGCCTCCTCTGCAGATCATAACTCACAAGCAAGTTGGGATGAAGTGCTCTTTCAGATAGTTGCTCTCAAGTTTTTTAGGGCCGTATATAAGCTTCAGTACCTTGGAATAGGTTCATAAGTGGGCTGACAAACAGTGCTATTCCTTGACTCTCCTTTTTATGTTCTCAATCAGCCATGATCATCAGTACTCTGATCACTGCTTTCTGCATTAGTTGCTGTTTCTGGACTATCTTCAAAGGCAGCTTCCTGTACAGGGCATTATAATAGTCCAGTTACCAGAGCATGGGTAGCTGTAGCTATTGTATATGCAGAAACACTGTCTTCATTGGATTTCATATTGTTGCTGCATGAAGTAGAAGCAGTTGATATGAAAGAGATGGCTCTCAGAAGCAGGCTTTCAGCTGTTTACCTTCACACTCCTCTGTGATTGGGAGAGCAATGCAACTAGCACTGGGAAGAATAAGCTGTGCCATAGCCCATGCTTTTACATGTAGTCTTTGGTTGACAAAATTGTGGATGGATGTAATGAAGCATCTGTCCCTATGTTTTAATCTGTACTGACACATATGGGATTCCAGGCTGTCAGCTTTGCCTTAGCCAGGATGCTTTTTGCAATGTGGGGGTCTCTTTTGATACCTGATCACTGTCATGGATTTCTGGGGAGGAAGATGGCAGACTAAACCTCTCTTCTTGACACTCTACCGAGAGAGATAATTATGTGGTGATCAGTGATGTAGCCAACTCACAAATCTTGGTTATCACATTCACTCTGGATAAACAGGGAACTAGGGATAAAACTCTGATGCTCTGAAAAAGCTGTTCCATGCTGGGAGACTGAGAAGCTTTGCGGGACTCAGATGGGGGTGACTTAGAGCGTAGGAACTTCCATCATGCCCAAACACTACATAATAGCCCTTAGGGTCAATCCTGAAGGCACAGCCCATTGAGGGTGCTCCATCAGCACAGCCAGTGCCAGTGAACAGCATTCACATAGCGAGTGAATTGATGGAGCTGCTTAAAAAGTTTTGCCAGCAGTCACGTGAATCTCTATTGGCTTGGATGCTGTGTTTGTGGGATGGGGGTGATGATGGCTTGAGGAGGTGGAGAATATGAGGAGTGTGGCAATGCATTTAGCTTTACAGCAGAGACTATATGGAGCTGAGGAAGGCAAGGGAATCATTCATTGCTTGATTGGTTAATGCTTGCCATGATGCTTGGGGATGGGGGATAGCCGTGATGGAGATTGGTGTTTTTGCAAGGGGCCCAGTGGAAGGGTCCTTTGCTATCAAACTTGTGACTGCTGGGGGGAGAAGTAGGGTTAGCCTATCTGACACAGATCAGATTGACATAGAGAAAGGTGGCAAGGAAAAGAAAGTTTTGAGCTGTGCCAGGGAAGGGGACATGGGGACAGGAGTCTTCAGTGGCTGCCCTGAATAAATAAACCTCGGCCATGAGAGCATCTGTTTTGTAGAATAGGCTTGCATTAGATATGATTGCAGCTGTTCAGGGAGGGGGTTGCACTCTTCTAAAGCAGGAATGTTGCACATATATTCCAGTTAAGTCTAACTTTTTGCATAAGGCTGTGCATGCTTTATATCAAGACAGTGTCAAGATAGCCAACTTGGAACAGGAATTATGGTGGGTTATGGTCAAGGGGTGGTTCCAAGGACTTGGAGAGTAGCGGCACCACTTATTGATATTTTTTGTTACCATTATAGCAATTGGATTACTTCCTCTCACTGGCTAGCATACACCCATAGACTGGAGAAACCTACCGGAAAATAACAAGCCATAGACAATAGTTCAGAAACATTAGAAGGAAAGAGCAACATGAAACTTTGTGGGAGTCCTGATCTGATTCAGATTTTCTTTATTGACAGCTTGCACCATGGGGATTTTTTCACAACCACACATACAGCCTCAGTGATGCAGTTGTGATGATGTCTAACAATGGTGGAAGGATGCTTCCACCTAGCTATGCTGCTTCTGCAGAGAAGCCTCCATATGTAACAGGGAATGCTAATGTAATCCACAGAGTATAAGATTTGTTATATTAAATTCTCATACAATATAAACTCTCTGAGAAGGTTCACATTACCAGAAGAAAATTCTGAACAAATACAGCTATCAGCCTATCATAGAACATTGTACACAGTTCTACATTCATACATGGACCAGTTGGACAAATGTTGCAGAATTGTAGATCTCATCATCCCAAATATTGGCCATGATGGCTGAGGTTGATGGGAGCCCAATAACACCAGGAGGGCCACAGGTTCTCCACAACTGCCCTGTGGCCTCATCCCAAGGCCTAGCTCTTCTGGATATATCTTCTTGTTCAGTATTATACTAAGCCCAGGTGTTGCTCCTGACTCCTGATACTAAGGATCCTGTGAGAGATGCCACTTGATAAACATGTTTTCTTCAGGTGTTCTGCCTGAGAGCAAAATACTCTCAGGAGTTAATTGTGAACTCTATAATTATCTTAACTTATGGTGAGCCTGTTTCTTGCCAAATATAACATGGGTTTTCAGTGACCACCATTGCAATAAGTAATCAAAATAAAAAATGGATATAAAATGTTCTTGTGGCATTCAGGGCTTGGGGGGAAAGACTGTGTTGAAGCAGAACAGTTGCATTTTAAAGGTCATAATCATAAGCATCACCATTGACCAACAGAGTCAGAAAAGACTGGGACTGGGTTGCTCTAAATGGGCTGATGTCATATATTGATGAATTAGATTGGAGCAGTGGATTTTGATTCAGACTGAAAGGGTTCATCTGTACAGTTGCAATGCTGTTTTTGTTTCTGGCGCTACTGTGGTTATGGTTGGTTCATCTTTCCTTTCATGAGTGCAAAGCACACTCCATTCCTTGCAGCATGAGTGATCCCGTCCAGATCCCACATGAGTATTACCAGCAAGGTGACCTCACCATTGGTGGCATCTCTTCTCAGTTCTTCTCCTTCTTTGACTTTATAGACTTCAAGCAACACCCCAATTTAATGTTTATTGGGGATCCTGTGTAAGGAACTTCTTTGCATGTTACTTATTAAATGTCTATGGGGCAGGGTAAAATAATATTATAGGTAGATAATGAAAATGATGACATTTGGTGAGATCTAATTATTTCAAAAGGTCTGCTCTGAGTATGAATAATTTTGAATATCACCCAGATTTTTGTTTTGCTGCCCATGTGAGTGGAGAGAATTTCAATATTGTCCACTTACCATAAATTCGCTGACATCCCTAGGCAAAAGAAAGGTGTCTATAAAGTATAGGATAGAAACACAGATTCTGTTATTTCAATCAGAAATTCTGGAGTTAGAAAACAGGTCTCTTATACCTAACCAGCATCACAGTCCCCTGTTTGTCTATGTAGTGATTTCATTTTCACATAGAAAATAATGCAATTATTCATAATATTTCTTTTAAAAACCCTAGAGTTTACAAGGTATTTACTCAAGAAGACACACATTGCTCTTTACTGCCCATAGAAGCAACCACTGTTGCTCTCTGTTTGCTTCCTTTCATCCAAGCAGCTCACAGTATTCAGGGATAATTAAAATCTCCCAGCTATTTCTGGCTCATTGTCTTCACATTTTTGAAGCCGAGTGGGCATGATGTACTGGATGTCAGGACAAAAGCAAGTGGACTGAACAAGTAGTTTATGAGGTCTGGAATATTGATTAACATAGCTTACCGGTATGTTCTGATTGCAGTGTAGTGACAAAAAACTACCAGCATGTCCTGGCCTTGGTATTTGCAATGAAGGAGATCAATGAGAATCCCAGGATTTTGCCAAATGTTACATTGGGATTTCATATCTATGACAGCTACTTCAATGAAAAGTTGACATTTCAAACAACTCTGAACCTTCTTTTTAGCCAGAAAAGGACAATCCCCAACTACAAGTGTGGCACACAGAAGAATCTGATAGCAGTCGTTGGGGGACTTGACTCTAAAACCACTCTTTACATGGCCACCAGCTTAAGCATCTACAAGATTCCTCAGGTAGCATATGCATGTGAGGCAGGTGGATTTTTACAGAAATTGCATAAAGAAAAAGTGCTTTAGAGAAAAGGGGAGATGCATCTGTTGTGCATTCTGATGAGCTAGAAACTGCAAGTGGAGAGAGTGGGGAATAGGAGCAACCATGCCTATGCTTGCTCAGTCCCTATGATGTAACATACGGAGTCAAGTGTGAATACCCATCATATCATGTTTTGGAATAACATCAAGTAATGGTGATAAACCAGTTCTAAAATAAACTTCTTAATAAGTATTTCTGCATTATATTATCTCTCAATACACTTAATTTCAGTAATGCATTTGCTTATGCTTAGAGCTCTTATTACTTGTTTGGTCCTTCAAGTGCTGAAACCCACTTCCCGTTCCTATACCGAATTGTTCCGAATGAAGAGAATCAGTACCAAGGAATCGTTCACCTCCTTTTGCATTTCCAGTGGACATGGGTTGGGATTGTCATGCTGGAGGATGATAGAGGAGAGAATTTTCTGCAGATCTTGATGCCAATGCTTTCAGAGAGTGGCATCTGTACTGCATTCATTGACAGAATGCCATTGCTGACAGACTTCTCTGAAATAATTCCTGAGCATGAAAAGACAGTAAATACACTACAACTTGTTAACAACAACACAGTAAAAACACTTATTCTATTTGCAGAGACGCAGTTCTCATTGTTTTTTATATTCTTGATGTACCAAGTAGAGACAGATGATAAGAGAAATGTGACTATAGGGAAAGTGTGGATTATGACAGCCCAATGGGATTTCCCAGCCATAGAGTTTCACAAACGATTTGACAGAGAAGTCTTCCAGGGAGCTCTGTCTTTTGCAGTTCACACCAATGTGGTGCAGGAATTCCACAATTTCCTTCTGACAGTAAATCCTTACTCACAGCATGGCGACAATTTTATCAGGGACTTTTGGGAGCAGGCTTTCAGCTGTTTATTTATAGATCCATCTGTGGTTGGAGAGAGCACTGGTGCCTGCACTGGGAAGGAGAAGCTGGAGAGCCTTCCTGGGCCATTTTTTGAAATGAGCATGACTCCGCAGAGCTACAGTATATACAATGCTGTCTATGCCATAGCTCATGCTTTAGATGCCATGGACTCCTGGAATCAAGTGCACACAGCAGTGACAGCTGTTCAAAATCCACATCCATACCAGGTACAACTTCAGAATCCAAAGGTCTCTACAGACATGAACATAATGTTTCTACTAACAGTATGTTCAACTATGTGACAAGTACCCATTATAGAGAACATTTTACACCTCTAGTGCAAATTTCACAGCTAGTTTTCTCTTCCTTAGAAATCTATCCACTTTCCTTCTTGTCAAGGAGTTCAATACTGTATCTACTCCAATTTCTACCTAGCCAAACTTTTCTTAATTCTGGAGACTAGGGGTCATAGGCACCAACTCCTTAGGGATGAGGTGTTTTCAGCTCACTCAATAATGTTTAGCAGAAGTCTTACCAATACTGGCCAGGTCATTTTGCGTAGGCTTGCCCAGGAATTCCTCTGCAGCTTGTATTCCCTTCATATCCCAAATGATCAATATCCTTTCATTTGTTATTTTCTAGGGCTTAGGGCAGTTCCCACACCAGTCTTATAAAATATGCTCCCTATATTCAGTCCCGGTCAGCAATCTGGCTGCAGCTCTTTGTACTAGTTAAAGTTTCTGAGCACTTTTCAAAATCAGCTTTATTGCATTTAGGTGGAAAGGAAAAATAGACCTGGGTGTCATCAGGACAGTGATGTTTTGTACAGGAAAAAAAGAGCTTTTATCTCTTTGATTATAGCTTCACCGTTTCTTGAGGAGAATCTCATTTAACAACAGTGCTGGGGACCTGGTGTCTTTGAATGAGAAAGGTGAATTGGAAAGTGGACTTGATATTATAAATTGGGTTACTTTCCCTAACAAATCCTTTTCAAGGGTAAAAGTGGGAAGGATGGATCCATGGACCTTAACTGACAGAGAGTTCATGATCAATGAAGATGTCATCACATGGCACAGCATGTTTAATCAGGTAGATTTTGATTGGGATTTCACATGTTGGATCTATGTACAAAAACATCAGTCATGGTGGTTCCAGTATGAATGCTAGATTATTTCTTTAGTTGATAGATCTTTGTCTTCAAGGCAGTTGACAAATCTCTTTTAAACAGGTATTCCATATATTAATTCTCCACATCTTAGAACAAAGAAAGCTCCTGCCTCAGAGTTCACCCTCACAGACAGAAAGCTACTCATATGGACACAATACTATAGCAAAATCTTCTAGGATTACTGGAGTTATGATACAGTGGAGGTTAACTGAGGTGGGAGGTTAACTGAGTCACTGGAGACGAGAAGGAAATTGTAAGAATACTCATTTTAATATGAGAATGTGATAGACACTTAGCGGATTGTTTAGAAATGAGATGGCAATCTGGTGCCTGATTAGTCAATCAAAAGGCTTGTGTAACTCAAATATATTTTTATTTTTGTTTTTCCTCTACCAAGCTCAGGCTGACTCATCCAGCAACAGGTCTGCTCTTGAATGGAGTTTGGATCTGGGAGACCACTGCACCTGGCCCAGCCGGGCTTGAGAGTGGGAGCAGAGCTGTGACTAGGAGTAGGCAGCTCCCTTGTGGGCCAGAGCCAGGCTTCAATGAAGGCGTCTGTCATGGGGGTGCCTGGTCACACACCCTCCAAAAAATGTGCCTGCCCCCCCACGCCACACCACTGCTTGAAGAGTTACAGTGCAGTATGCCTCTGGATCCTGCTTGCAGGATTCTCATGGACACCTGGTTGGCCAGTGTGAGAACAGGATGTTGGATTTGATCCAGCAAGGTTCTTCTTCTGTCCCTATGCCCCAGTGTCATTGATTCTATTCATATTGATCCAGAGCAGTCCCCAACGTACAGTTAGCAGAGTAAAATCTTAAACATGTTGCAGGATTCCTCAGAAATAGATCAGAGGCAATTAGCTTCCTCCAGCAGAACTTTACTACTACTGAAGGCAAATGAGCATAATGGTCACAAATCCGATATCTTCAGGATCGGCACAGTCCATAAGAAATCCAGTTATAGTAAAAAAAAAACAAAATTAGCTTGAACTTACAATAGCTCACATTAAATCTAAAACCTTAGCACTTAAACATACTATGTACAGAACACCGCACCAGGAGAGACAGAAAGTGGAAGCCAGGCTCCTCCTGGCCTATTATTATAGTCAGCATGACCATGAGTGAAAGAGATAACAGAACCAGTTTAAACCAGCTGTTCAGCTTCTCTGAAGAAATAACCCAAATATCAGGAACCTTCTGCCTGTTTCTAGGCAGAATAGAAACTTGCTTGTTAGCTAGAAACTTCCAGCTTGCACCAGCTTGTATCACACAGAGAAGCTTCCAGAACCCTCTTGAATTAATTAGAATAGAAAAGATCTTTACACATTAGATCAAGACTTTTTGCACCAAAAAATTGCAAACTGACACATAGAAAGTATGAAAATATTTTATATACAGAATGCTCCTTTTTCTGATGCCATTAGTTTTGGTGGGAATAGCATTTACAAAGCATGGAGTAAACATTTCCTGCCTTGCATTTGTGGACAGATGCATCCCCGCTCCGTGTGTAATGACAACTGCCGTCCAGGTTCTGTTAGGAAAAAGAAGGAGGGGGAGCCATTCTGTTGCTATGACTGTGACCCATGTCCCAAAGGAAAGATTTCTAAACAAACAGGTAAGTGTCTACCATCAGATTGACTCAGTTAAGTTGGTAGAGTAGAAAATTTCCTACATGGTAATATTAACCATTGTGTTTAAAGATGGTAATATTATATGCATAAAAGGACATATTGTCATAAACTATTCAATTGGACACCAAAACTGTATTCACATATGTTGAATTCACAGAGGGATGGGAACTAGAGCTATCCTTGCTCCTAATCTCTATGAATTTACCTACAGAATTTAGTTCATTTTACCAGCTTCGTCTGGTTCACTAACCATGGCTGTTCCTGTACAGGGATTGCCTGACCACTGTAGTCCATGCATTTGATATCTTTGAGGCTAGATTACTGTATTGCATTCTATGTGGGGCTGTCCTTGGGTCTGGTTCAGAAGCTCCAGTTGGTACAGTACGCTGAGGCAAGATTGCTGATGAGAGAACATTCTGGTTGAGAACATGTGATACCATTGTTAAAACAAAGCAACCTCTGGCTGCCTATCTGATATCAAATCAGGGCTAAGGTTCTTGTATTTGTTTACAAAGCTCTGAACAACTTGGGTCCAGGATACCTCAGGGATCACCTGACCACTTATTATTCCCACCCAATGCCAGATATATGTATAGGGTAAGTAGACTGAAGCGTAGGGCCTCTAAATCTAGGGGGCCTCACCAGCCTGCCCTCTCACCAGTGCCGCAGTCTCCCCTCTCCCAAAATTGCAAACCCAAGACTTCATCTAAATATATAAAAAAATTAAAAAAATTGTCCAGTAGCACCTTAGAGACCAGCTAAGTTTGTTCTTGGTACAAGCTTTTGTGTGCATGCACACTTCTTCAGATACACTGAAAGAGAAGTCACCAGACCCTTATATATAGTGGGAGGGTGGGGTAGGGTCTTTCTCAGGAGGGTAGTACGAGATGGGTGATTGACTTGCTTTTCCTGTAGGACTAATTGCAGTCATTAACAGCCACGAACAGGTTTAGTATACCCATTGAGTCAATCACAGTGTATCTGTGATTTCGACTGTGTCAGACCTACCCTGAATCTAGAACCAAGACTTCATGCAAGGGCAGGGCAACTCAGGCCCAGCAACTATGAGACACAGGGCTAGCCAGTGGGGCTCAATTTGAGTAGTGGGGCGCAACTTGATTTTTTTTTTTAGGGCCCCAGTTCACAGCCAAAGTCTGCAAAATCTTATAGATAGAAATAAAATCCATCTAGATTGCCCTGGTGTGTGTGTGGGCACCCTTAGGAGCAGCCTGTGGGGCCCAATTTGGCTCAGTTGCTCCAATTGCCTTAAGCTCAGCCCTGATGAGACTGTGCAGGGGTTGGACTGACAAGCCCTGCACCTTCTAGGTCCCTGGTGTCACTATTCAGAATACAGACTCAAGGACCTCTTATGGAAATAAAGGGGGGCACTTATTGGAAATCAGTTTTGTCACCTCTCTCCCTCCCCCAAGCCCTGAGACAATGAGCCCAGCCACCTTTTATTCACAGTTGCATAAGCACTACACTACAGCATGGCCATAAACTTGTACGTTCAACTGCTGAAATATACACTCAATATGTAGCAATGGAGATTTATGTTACTGCTTTATGAATGAACACTGTGTTTTATGAATGGACTCTGTATTTTGTGAATTACCTAAGAGCCATGAATAGGGAGCTCTAGAATTTGACATCTAACTAATTGGGTACTACCAAACAGCGACCCCTATTGCTGAAAGCAGGTAACCAGCAGGGAACGCTTCAGCTCAGCCTTTACACTGTTGACTTAACACCCCCTGCTGTACAGACAATGGAGAAAGCTTGTAAATTGTATCCCTTCTGGCATCCTGACCAGGATTACACTGGTGTAAACCCTGGTGCACCAGAAGCCCAGAATAGCAGCAAATAAAATCCGCTCATACGTCAGCGACTGATAAGACTTGCCAATCAGTTCTTCCAAAGTCTTCCTAAATTATAAAGCTCCAAAATACAGGCCGAAAGAGAACAGGTCTGGAAAGAGCGAAGCATACAATGTTATGAGATTCAGGTGAGGGTCAGATGCCTTGTCAATCCCAGCAGGTATATAAAAGAATGACCGCCTTTGCCCTGGCTAGGCCTTTGCCCAAATCTGGCCATGTTCCCACCCCTTACTTTCTGATCCGTTGGTGTTCAGATACCAGCGGATCAGAAAAAAACTTTTTGTATATGCAACAACTGCTGCCAGGATGCTGCTAGCCCAGAGATGGAAAGAAGATACAGTTCCAACCAAGAAAGAGTGGCAGATAAAACTAATAGACTATGCCAAAATGGCAAAACTCACGGGAAGAATTAGAAACAAGGAAGAGCTAACTTTTAATAAAGAATGGGGAAAGTATATAAGTTATTTGACAAATTATTGTAAACAACTAAATTCATTAGTAGGATTGATGTAAAACTTGTAGTTTAAAAAATGAAATAAGAAATAATTAAGGATTAGTAAAAACTGGAATTATAAAGGAGATGCAGGGGGAATAGTTATAACATAAGCATCCACAAAGGGGAAGGGGGGGGAGTCAAAGGGATATGTGTTTTGCCTTGTTTTCTTTTTTCTTATTTGATGTTTGTAAAATTAGCAAAACTCTTTCTGTGGGATTGTGCAAATTGCTTTCCCATAATTCCAGCGAGGAAAGTCAGATTCATATGTATTTGTTTGGGAGAGGGATACATCACTGTTCCTTTCTGCTCCAGAAATGGACAATTGTATCAAATGTCCAGAAGATCAGTATCCAAATGGAGACCAAGATGGATGCCTTCCCAAGGTTTTGCATTTTCTGTCATATGATGATGCTTTAAGCATCAATTTAATTTTCATGGCACTTTCATTTTCTGTCATCACTGCTTTGGTATTAGGGATATTCATTAAACACCACAACAGTCCCATTGCCAAAGCCAATAATCGGGGTCTAACCTACACTCTGCTTATTGCCCTCCTGCTGTGCTTCCTCTGCTCCTTGCTCTTCATTGGCCAGCCTCAAAAAATAACTTGTCTTCTACGACAAACTGTTTTCGGTCTCATCTTCACCATGGCTGTTTCTTCTGTGTTGGCAAAAACCATCACAGTGATTTTGGCATTCATGGCCACACAACCAGGATCCAGGATGAGGAACTGGGTGGGGAAGAGACTGGCAGCTTCTATTGTTTTCTCCTGTTCCCTCATTCAAGGAGCTCTTTGTACTGTGTGGCTCCTTACTGCCCCCCCATTCCCACATTTGGACATGGACACTTTGACTAAAGAAATTGTGGTTGAATGTAATGAAGGGTCTGTCCTTATGTTTTATTCTGTTCTTGGGTACCTGGGATTTCTGGCTCTTGTCAGCTTTGCTGTGGCTTTTCTTGCTAGGGAATTGCCCAGTACTTTTAATGAAGCCAAGTTCATCACTTTTAGCATGTTAGTGTTTTGTAGTGTGTGGGTCTCTTTTGTGCCAACTTACCTGAGCACAAAGGGAAAATACATGGTGGCTGTGGAGATCTTCTCTATCTTAGCCTCTAGTGCTGGTTTACTGGGTTGTATATTTGCCCCTAAATGTTATATAATTGCCCTGAGGCCTCAGCTAAACTGCAAGGAACATATAACAAGGAGAAATAACTAAGGATTCGAAACTTGGATAGTGTTCTTCACTGTTGTCTTTATGATGTCATTTGATTGTTGGAAATAAAATGGTCAAAAAGAGATGAGCATACATTTGCTTCAAATAGTCAGAGATGGTCTCATGTATAATGTTGGCAGACTACCTTTGTGTGATGCCAGTTCTTTGTTTCATTGGTCCAATGAATGGTCCAATGACAACTTAAATTATGAAGAAATAGTGCCTGAGTTTGATTTATTCGTCATACCTCACATCTTCTTGCTTCTGTGTTAGTAGCTTGAAGACTACAACCATTTCACTACTGATTTTTGTAAAGTGCTCTGCAATCCATTTTGGCTAAACAGTGAGGTAAAAGTGATTTTTAATACATATAAAAATCCATTTGAATCAGAAGAATTGGTTTGTATCCACTGATTGTATGAGACTCCCCAGCCTCACAACCAGGAATCTTTACTATCCTTTGCAGCGGTACAGGGCTGAAGCTGGTGTCTTTTGCTTGCAAGCTTGGTATCATCTTTTAATCTAGAACCCCATTTCCATAAAATTTTCTGGGAATTGAACCCAGATGTTCAACACCAAAGCTGATCATGTTACTGCAAGACCAACAAGCTAGACATGTTTACTGAATTCCTGGCTGCAGTACAAAAAAATTTTGATTTCTGAAATGATATCTGTAACTCCTCATGGGTGCAACCTATGGGGATTGGGCCAATAACCCATCTAGTCCAGCAACACCAAATGCTTGTGGGAAGCACACATACAGGAACTGAGTGCAACAGCATTATCCCCAATTACAACATCAAGCTACTGCCTTGAGAAACATAAAAATGGTGGTAAATCATAGCCCTCCAAGTTAGAAGCCATTCATAGGCATATATTTGAATTTGCCTCTTTTAAAGCTATGCAAGTTGGTTCCTATCAAGATAGGAACAAAAATTGTGAGGGAGACAACTAGAAATGTAAAAAGATTAAAATAATTAAGAAGATAGGCCATCAAGAAAAGTTAAACAGTGTTTCAAAGCCTCTGTACCTTATAACAGGCTGTTTACACTCAACTTCATTGCTTACATTTCCATGACTTCTGTTAACACTCATGGACCATAATCCAATGAGCACTTATATAAAATATCTAGGCAGTGAACAATATATACATGTACACAATTGCAATGCTTTGCATGAGAGCAGAGGAAATGCATTGATGATTCTAGCATTTCTGTTCCAAGCATGAGCTGACCAGGGAATCTCTGGTCTATTGGACTACATCTCTCATAATCCCTGACCATTGCCTATAGTGGCATGAGCAAGGCCAGGCCAAGACATTTCGGCACCTGAGGAATACCACAACATGGTGTTCCCTCTCTGACAAGAAAGAAGGGGTGAAGATCTACATCAGGAACAATGGAGGAATAAAGCTCTGTTCTCCCTTTGGATCCTGATGCCTGAGGCAGTTCCATGATAGAAACTTTATTCGCGCTAGCCGATGGCCATAGCAACAATAAAACATTACAATATACACAGAAAAAAGGAAAATTAGTATAAAAGCACAGTTTAGGGTCCTGAATGAACAGTCAGATAGTGGCCCTTATTCTGATTGCTCCTGCTAAGAACCTAGCAACCTTTGCTGTTATCTGCTCCTTTTGGTCTGACAGGAGAAAGGTCACTGTGGCAGTGGTTGTGCACCCTGGGATGGTAAGTATGAGTGGGGTGGTCAGTACGAGTGGGGTGATTCGTTCCTTAGGTCTTTGTAGAGAGTGCAAGACAGGAGGATGTGTGCCGCTGTTTTGGTGCTACTGTCTCCACAGGAGCAAAGGCGTTTCTCATGTGGGATCTTTTGGAATCGGCCCTCAAGTAAAGCAGATAGCAAAAGGTTCAGTCTTGCGAGTGTGAAAGCACGTCTGTATTTTGGGATAGCTAGTTTGTGCAGGTATGGAGCCAGAGAATCAAAATGGGAAGATGGAAAATGATCATACCATGAGCAGAATTTCCTTATCGTGTCCAGATTGTTCTGATGCTCGATATCTTTTAGACATTGACAAATTAGACTGTTTGCTTTGGTAAGGCCCATAGTGAGTAGGTGTTGTGTGGATAGGCCACAAGAGTGGAGTTTTTGGTAGACAGTTTTAAGCCAGGCACTTTTGTGATAGTAGTGTATGGGCTCTGTTCTCCCTATTGATCCTGATGCCTGAGGCAGTTGCCTCCCCTTGTTTGATAGGTTGGCTGGCCCTGTGGCTGGGGTTGATAGAATTTGGGGTTCCATAACATATGTAAGGGCTACAGGTTCCTTATCACTGCTCTATGGCTTCATTCCAAATCTTGTCTATTCTGGATAATTTCCCCTGCTCTTGATTCAATAGTGAAACAGATATGAGACACCACCCAGTAAACAAGTTTTCTTCAGCTATTCTGCTGCCCATGAGCAGAATGCCTTGGGGATGCAGCTGTGAACCTTGCAATTATCTCAAATTATGGTTATCTGCTTTCTTGCCCAAAGCAACATGGATTTTCAATGACTACTTGCAGAATCAAGATGAAAATACATATACTGTAAAATATGCTTGTTCCTTTCAGAGCTCTTGAGGACAGACTGTGAACATGAAAGGCAGCTGAAAGTTTTAGAGAAAGTATCACTGTTGACCAACAGTGTCAGGAGACAACTGATATTAGGATTTTGCTCAAGGGGGGAAAAGGGATTCTCGGTTATGTTTGCAATGCTGTTTTTCTTGCTGTGGCTACTGATTTTGCGGTTGGTGTTTCACCCTCTGACTGAGTGCAGGACGCACCCAATTATTTGCAGGAGGAGTGATCCCTTCCAGATCCCACATGAGTATTATCATCCAGGTGACATTATCATTGGTGGTATTTCTTCACAGTTTTTCATATTTTTTGGCACCATAGAATTCAATCAACACCCCAATACAATGCTTATTCGGGATCCTGTGTAAGGAACTTCCTGTCTCTCATAAAATACTAACATACAGTTTATACTACTCCCATTGATATGGAGTGGGGGGAAAATATCAGCTCAGGTGCCATGTTCCCTTATGAAACGTCTTCCCAGGGGCTGTATTACAGTGATGGGTAGGGCCAAAGGGCACTGAGTCCACAGACTTTGCCAGAGCTAAAATTGGGTGGAACAGTAGAAATTATTCTTGGCTCTGTAGAGTAGGATACCTTCCAGTCATGCAAATGTCAAGATGTTTCTACACACCCACTCCTCACACACATCCATCCATGTTCATACAGCAAAAAAATACAACATCCAGAGTCCAAGGACACATCCCATGAAGGCAATACCGCAGATAAGGTCTCATGGCAAAGCAGAGGGTGTTATCTAGGGAAGCCATATACGCTTGTCAAAGAGGCATTTTCAGAGTGGTATGACCAGTGTAGAAACACTGGGCACAGCACTTCAGGGCACACCAAAATAATACTGTAGAATGGAATATGAGTGGAGGCAGCAGGAGGGGAGAGGAATTTCAGCATTGTATAGTGTGCTGCTGAAATTTGAGAGCCAAAGTCTGCCACAGCTTGTCAGGTCTATCAATTTCTGCTGCCCAACAGTTATTTAAGGTTTACATAATACCCACTGAATTTTATCTTCATTTATTCTCTATCTTTTGTAATGCATTCATCATATTTCTGCTTCCCCCTGCCAATCACTGTAGTTTCTTTTTTATCCCATTTTTGCCTGTAGCCGGGGTGGCAAATAATACAGCATTATTGTACTTTTGTTGTACAATCTCAATTTCTGGTATTTTTCATAAGTCCTTCCTTGGATTACCCCTTTCACTATGAATTGCATTCTCTATTTTAAAATAAACACATTGTGATTTAATTATAAATATCCACAGCTGGTGAGAGAGTATTTAGAATCTTGATTTCATGACTGAATGTTTTCGGCAGTGCTTTGAGAAGGTGCTGGTCAGGATGATGAAATTTATAACATAACTATCTATCTACCACTATATTGTAGCCTGGCAAATTATGGGCAGTCCTGGAATTCAATATTCCACTGAGGCAAAATGGGGTCTATTGTGTGCACAATGTAAACGTGAGTTACATTTTAATTAAGCAGCATCATGGTTCCCTGATTTCCTATAAAGTAATTTCATTTTTTCACAAACAAAATTATACAACTTTTCATTATGCAGGGCAGATTTTATTGAAGCACACACTAGCTGATGTTCTTTGCTGCCCCTAGAACCCACACTGTTCAAACATGTTTTCAATTTATATTCCTCTTAATGGTAAGTTTTCTGGTTAATTTTTTCTTAGTAAGAAAAATAAGTTGAAATAATCGTTGCAACAAAGGTTCATAGTTTAAAGTAGATTTTGAGAGAGCATGACACCCATTCATAGATTATTTCAACAGCAGATATAACAATATTGGTTGAATGCAGAATCAATTGAAGTTTGTTTGGATATAAAATTCTCCCTTGCTTGCTTTATTAGCAACAGAGCTCCAGAAATATGAATAGTATAAAATGTTTAAGAACAGTATCAACCCATCTCCCTCTCTCTTTTCAAATTCAAAAAGTTTGCTTAAATTAATAAGAAGGCAAGCAGCTCACAGACATAAAAGAGCCATCCTCTTAAAGCGATCCCATCTATTTTTGTTTCAGTTATTTGTAGTTTGAAGTCATATACACATTGCTTTGGAAGATACATATGGCAGTACTGATGAAAAGGATGTCAGACCCAAAAACAGATGTCTTTGCAAGAACAGTTATTCATGAGGTCTAAAATATTGGTTTAATGTGGTATATATTTTTATTGCAGTGTAGTGACAAAAAACTTCCAGCATGTACTGTCCTTGGTCTTTGCACTGAAGGAGATCAATGAGAATCCCAGGATCTTACCAAATGTTTCATTGGGATTTCACATCTATGACAGCTACTTCAATGCCAAGATGACGTATCAGACTATTCTGAATCTTCTCTTTAGCCTGAAAGAGATTGTCCCTAACTATAAGTGTGACACACAGAAGAATCTGATAGCTGCCA